AAAAGCACCCATTCAAATTTGAGTAGTTTCAGGTTTTGCTAATCTGGTTACTTTTTATCTTCAAAGGAAACCAGATAAAGGGAGGTTTATTTTCCATGTTCAGAAGAAATGTAACTGAATGGAGCATTAAATACTTCTCCCTGCAAATTCTGCTGCAGGATTTATTGCAGCTCTGCAGAGACAGGCATTGCCCTCCTCCCCTTCCCTTTTCACAGCAGCACATCTGGAACCGGTCTGGTGCTCTCTCAGCTTCAGCTGTGAAACGCTTGTACCGGACAGACGGGCATTGCCCTCCTCCCCTTCCCTTTTCACTAGTAGCAGCACATCTGGAACTGGTCTGGTGCTCTCTGAGCTTCAGCTGTGAAACGCTTGTACCGGACAGACCATGTCCATGAGCATCTGTGCACATGAGTCTCTGTAGATGTTCCGCTTCTCAAATTTCAGCCTATGGTAATTCTTCAGTCTCTTACCTGTGTTTATGTGTGGTTTATCTAACAAGAACATGTGGCTGTCAGTTTTCGTAGACAGATGCACAGATCAATCGCAAAAAGAGTCATTCTCCAGATTTCTTTTAGGCAACATAGGAAGCTGCATTTAAAACCACAGTTAAAACAGGTAGCACCAGGGACTCATTTGCCTCAGGCTGCATAAAGTGGCTGAGAAGTCATGCTCATCGATATTTTAACGATATACTCCAGTTCTGAGTCCACAATAGCCATTTTCTTTATTAGTTCTTCCTGGAAACCCATGCAATAAACAGGAATTAGTTGTGTATCACTTGGACCTTCTGCTGGAACAGGTTTATGTGGGTTACAATCAGCTAGCGTAACCTGGAGCTCGCATGCCTAGAGTAAACCTAATGCTCTTTCAGCCTAACTAGGGCCAGCCTAACAGTCAGACAAGCCTGAAGTCACTTTAGCACGTGCAACTTCTCCAGTGTAGAATCTGCTCCAGATCGGTAGAGCCACAGCTTATGTACAAGCCAAAGGCTCCAGTTAGAGTAACAGCACACTGAAGCAGACCAAACCTGATTTCTGGTGACTTTATTGCACTGACCTAAGAACAACCATGACACAGAAATGGTCTCATCAGTACCTTGGACTTCCTTGCTTTGGATATGACAGATTCAGAGAGAGAAAGCAATATCCATTTCATTGGTCTACTATTCTGCTGCCAGCATGTCAAAGCCAGACATCTTAGGCTCCCTCTATATTCAATGACAATATCTGTTATAATCATCCAAGGTAGCTAAAGATTATTCAGGTCAGTCTTTATCTTGGGTACTTTTGGTTGTAGCTGTACTTCATCGCTTGCAGAATATTGCAAAAAGAAAAGAAAGCCATTGAGTGGGAAAGAGACAAGAGAAAGAAAACCAGGTCTGTTGTCATTCTATTTTCTAGCAGGCAAATTTCACATTTTGGAAAACTCTGTTGGCTGTATGTTGTATCTTTCTGTTGAAAATATTCCCCTCTGAGATCAGATTTAGCCTATTCAAATTCATTTAAAGAGGAAAAAAATGTAAATAACTTCCAAAGAATTTTTTTTTTTTCATTTTGCTTTTAGAAAAGATTAAAATTTTACAGTCAGAAATTTGGGTTGTTTCAAAAGGAGTTAGCTGAAATGAATAGACAAGCTGAATAAATAACAGTCTGAAAGCTGTAAAGTAGGAGGCTTAGATATTCTACCAGAGTGCAACCTCCAAGGTGAAAGACACATTGGGTACCAGTTGCTGCTCACAGGGATTTAAGAAATTTAACTGAGCAGCGCAGATGTCCGAACAAACAGTCTACATTGCATAGTCAAATTCTAATTGAGGTTCCTATAGTTTAACAAGCTACCATACATCAGCTGAGCCAGGCAAAACTATTCCAGTGTTTCCTGTTGGCTACTTATGAGAACAAGGCTCCTGCAGACATAACGTGTGGTTATTTTAGGTTAACCTAAATCCACAGTATCTTTTGTTTGCTCTGGGCTAAGATTGCACATTCGGAGTTACCTGTGACTGTATTGACTGGCACAAGAACAGCTTAGGCCAGATTATGTTTGAACCCTTCATGATGCTTCCATTTACACAGTTGAAAAATCTGGTATTCTACAACTCATTCTTTTCCTTCAGTTAGCCACATTAATTCAGTGCTTGTTATTAATACATAGTGGATCTTGAACTATAACCTGAGAAGTTATTGGTGCTGAATTTTTATACTCCCTATTCACAACAATACTAGCCCCTTATGCTCCCACTTCAAACCGAAGCCTATATATTTTGGGGTAGACACCCTTTCTTGTAATGATCTAAGCTCCATTTTGTTTGAAGTCCACAGACACTGTTCAAGTGTTATGTGATTAGGCCACCTTAATTTAAATTTTAAATGGCACAATCCATCCCTTTAGGTCACAAATTTTAGAAGGACCATTTTTTTTTAAATAATAGAAGTACCACTGCGGGGAGTATTTTAAATACTTTGGTGCCCATGCTCATAATCCCTTGTGTTCTGGATCACTGGCTGCAGGTACGAAGCGATCTCTCATCTTTCAGTCTGATCCACATTTGACACATAGGTAAACCAAAACACAGGAGTCGGTAAAAATGAGTTGCAGTGAAAAAAAAAAGGAAGAGAAATCAGACCAATTCCACCCTTGGTGTAGATCTGTGGAACTGAATAAATACCAGAAAGTAATTGGGAAAAGGACTTCTGTCCAGCAATGAACACCTGTGAAATGACCTAGAAATCAGCAAAAGCTAAGACAAATAGGGGAAGTCTATTTGTCTACTTGTTAACCTGCAAGGTTAACAGGTTTTAATCTGATTCAAAAATGGGGCTTTGTTCTCAAAGGAAATACCTACATGAAACTAGTCGTTCCTCTGCCACATACAAAAAATGAAGGCTACCTTGAACTGAAAAAAGGTCAATAGTTGTCATGAGCTGTTCTTGGTTATCATAGCAAAATAAGTTCGCCTTCATCAGAACATTTTGTTTTCTTGAGCTGTGAGAATTAGCCTCAGCTCCTGGCTGTGGTTCAGATTTGGATGTGTTTGCATTCTCCGAGCTTCCAGTTGTGCAAACTATTCATTCCGCTTACTCTGTGGTTTTGGATTTCTACAGGATCTGTCTTACAAGGACCGCCACTGGCATGAAACCTGCTTCCACTGCTTCCAATGCAAGAATTCGTTGGTGGACAAACCTTTTGCTGCAAAAGAGGAACATCTACTTTGCACTGATTGCTACTCCAATGAGTACTCTTCCAAATGTAATGAGTGCAAGAAGACTATTATGCCAGGTTAGGATTGCTCACTTTTTGGACTAAGAAAAGATTAGGCTAAATATCAAGCCCAACTCAGCAACATTTCTGACATATTTTTCCTTGACTATCTCTGCAAAGTCATGATGAACTTTGTAAAATACAGTTGATGGTGCATTTAAGTCATTTCCATAACACATAATTTTCATAATGGATCTCAATAGAACGGTTATTCACACAAAGTGGATTACTCTCAAAAATTAGTATTTATTTCATTTAGCATTTTTACTAAGGGGATTTATAATTTTCTACAGCAGTATTCATTAAAAGGCTTTCAATGGCCAGACAACTAAAACTGATCTTTCTTTCCAATCCCAACTTTGTATTCTGTCTTGATTGGCTTCCACTGCTTGAAGATGAGAAGCAGCCGTCAAATTTAAAAGAACCAGCAAGTGGTTGGATACCCTTTATGGAGACTGTTAATGCTACACTTGCCCTTTGCTTTGCTCGATTGAATGTACAATTTGGATTTAATAAAGCATTATCATGACATGCCCATTAAATACTAAAGTAATTACAAGCTTGATCTTTCAGTCCTTCTGCAAACTAAACTCCCACTGACTTCAGTCTAGCAGCTAACAAACAGGGCTCCCCCTGCCTTGAGTTCCAGTGACAACACAACCCCAAAGAGAACAGCTAAAAATGTGAAAATAAAATTCTGGACTATTAAAAAAATTATCCACATCTCCTTTTTCCAGAACACCATTGCTTCAAGGACTGACTTATTTGCTTCTTGGTGTGATATAGAAAGTTACCAGCATGGAGAGGGCATAATTCTTAAAAGATGTCCATTAATAAAACAGATCAGAAATATTCAAGCATGTAAGCATCAGGCAGAAAGATAATTAACAATTCACTTACTTACTATGTTCCTGCAAGTCAATTCTTAAAAAAAAAATTTAAAATAAATAAATACATAAATTAAAATCCTGAAATATGCCTCTGGGCAGAATTTAATGGACCAAAAAAGAAGAAAAATACGCAACTAGTAAACAAAGAGGAATTAACGCTTGAGAAGGGACAAATGGTAAAACTTCACCCTGCAGTAACGGGGGCGGGGAGAATCGGCATCAAAGGAGTTAGTGTGGGTCTTCATCATTAGCCAGCACGATCAGCTTGTCAGTCTTCCAAGCGCGTGACATCGTGCTTGTTGCTACAGGCTACAAGAGCAATGCAGAACTGTGGGAGCATCATTTGTTTTGTTTTTCCTTCTGGCCAGTGTCAAATATTCTGTCTCAAACTGGTACACAGGGAATTATAGAGTGCGCAAAGAAATTTGTCCGTATAACAGGGCATCTCCTGTTTCCTGGAAGGGCTCAGAGTCCACCTGTCATACAGTGGACTGAATCTGCAAAGTACAGTGTCTGTACCCTAAAACTTCATTCTGGACAAGTACATTTAGCTCCTCACTAGCACACCACTCTTCTGCTTTTCAGTAAAGGACTGTTTAAAGGTTTTTCTTCCTTTCACATTGCAATTATGGTTTAAAAACAACTGAAGACAGAGAGAAAGCGTCTTTCTTACTGGAAGTTTCAAAAGAGAGAAAAGCATTTAGGATAGGCGTTGCAGAGCTGGAAACCATTGCAAATTTATAGTGGACCTCAATGAGGACAGGAACAAGGCCCCAGAGCAGATACAAAATGATCCTTTGTCTCAGACAGTGACTATACTTTATTGGGAAAGGGAGGCAAGAAGCTTGCCAGGAATTAACCAGGTACCTTGTAGCTGTCTGAAAAAGCGACTAGAAAGGACTTGGAACAAAGGAGGTCAAACTTTAATGAGGAATGGCATTACCCTCACTCAGCACTAACAGCAGCTTTTATTGGTGTCTCGCCAATTTCCCAGAATCTTCCCGTGCATTGGAATTAATTATTAACTCTAATAATACCACAAAAAGGTGTCCTAAGCCTTCATTATTAGCTGTAAATTTTTCTCTTCTTTATAGGAGGAGAAGAACCACTCACTCTCCAAAAACTTAGAATGGTGCCCAATACCATGCAAAGCTGGTAGGAACACGAAACAGCCTCTAGCTCGTAGCTGCACTGCTTACTGACCGGCAGCCAGCTGTCAGGCAAACGAGAGCTACAAATTGCAGCCGTCTCAGCCAGAAGAAGTTCAGTTGATGCTCTGGTCTCATTACAGGTACTCGGAAGATGGAATACAAGGGCAACAGCTGGCACGAGACCTGCTTTATCTGCTACCGCTGCCAGCAGCCTATTGGGACAAAGAGTTTCATCCCTAAGGACAATCAAAACTTTTGCGTGCCCTGCTATGAAAAGCAGTTTGCCATGCAGTGCGTCCAGTGCAAGAAGGTAGTGCTCTTGTTTTACTTACCTTAAAACCTAAGGGACTGAAGTCCATCCCATTTCACACCCAAGTAGGTAGAATATCTTATTTTTCTATGCATGTTAAAAGACTCAGAATTAACTGATTTTAATAGACAAGGTAATTTCAGTTCCCCTCCTGCACCAGGCACAGCATTTACTACCACGAGAATTCCCTTACTCAGGGTTAAAGATCCCTTTGTATTGAAAGCATACAGAGAACACGTTTTAAAAAAACAGAACAAACCAAAACAAAATCAAACTCTGTGGTGGAATAACCTCATTCCAGTATAACCCATCATATGTCATATACCTAAACATTTCAACTGGAAGGAAGATGAGCTAACACTGATCATTTTTGAATATTCTAATGAAGTTCAAGACAGAGAGATAAACTCTACGCAGAGCAAATGCTGTTCCTGAAATAACCACTAGTAAACTCAATATGCTCAGGAGTACAACTTTTTAGGCTAAGAACCTTTTATTTGTGAATTTCCTAAATTCTATACACAGACACTGATAAGAATTTTAGAATTCTTTCCTAAAAAGAATTGTCTCATCACTTATGGAACTAACAAATCCCAGTTCCCTATGGATATATGCATAGGCAAAGGCAGTGGTGTTGTAGTTGAACCCAGCAGGCAGCTGAACACCAAGCAGCCACTCGCTCACTCCCCTGCTCCCCAGTGGGATGGGGGAGAGAATCAGAAAAAAAAAAGTAAAACCCGTGGGTTGAGACAAAAACAGTTTAATAAAACAGCAGAGGAAAAGAACAACAACAACAATAATAGTAACAATAATAACAATGGTAATAGAATATACAGAATATACAAAACAAGTGACGCATAATGCAGTTGCTCACCACCCGCTGACCGATGCCCAGCCCATCCTGAGCCACAATCGCTGCCCCCCGGCCAGCTCCCCCTGACCATGACGTCATATGGTCTGGAATAGCCCTTTGGGCCAGTTGGGGTCAGCTGTCCTGGCTGTGCCCCCTCCCAGCTTCTTGTGCCCCTGGCACAGCAGGGGAAGATGAAAAAAGTCCTGGACTGGTGTAAGCCCTGCTCAGCAACAACTAAACCATCAGTGAGTTATTGACATTCTTCTCATCCTAAATCCAAACCACAGCACTGTGCCAGCTACTAGGAAGAAAATTACCTCTGTGCCAGCCGGAACTAGGACATATGGTTGTACCCACAGTAAATTCCCTTTCCCACTGCCATTGTTTCCTCCCTTTACCCTCTGAGTATTTCCAGCCACCACCTGTGCCCACGCTACCCAGACTTTCCTCCACTCATGCTACCTGCTCATTTGCCCGCCCAGTCAAGCAAATCTGTGGTCTGGTCTGACGTACTAACTGGCCGGAAACGACTGCATCTTTGCCGCTGCACAGGCAAAGCAAAATAGGTAAAGGCCAAATTTTTTTTTCAGCCTTTGACCTAAAGTATTTGACCTTGTTACCTTTACTACCCCTATCCATCCATCAATCTTCTGAAGCTTCTAGGAGTATCGTATCTTAAAAACTGTCTAGAGTCCAATTTTAACCACATTTGAGAACGGGCTCAAAAATACTTGGGAAAGGGGCAAAGACAGAGATGAATACACATATTAAGTAGCATGATCACACACAAGCCTGATTCCCAGGGAATCTCCCGTTAGGGGAGAAAGGAAGAAAAATGAAACTGTCCAGTTTTGCAAGCTGCCTTAGGAATACTCAAAGGATCAAAAAAAGTTCAGTTTGTCTAACATCAGGGGAGCCAGTTTTACAGGCAACGACTTGTAAGACAAAAAACCCCAGACAAAGTCCAGAGAAGCAGAAAGCAAAGACTTCAGCTAAAATTTGAAATAAAAGAGTCTTTGCCAAGGAAAGAAACAGGGAAGTTGAAACACATAAGGTAGCTCCTTCAGCATGAAGAATGGGTCAGGTGAAGGAACAGAGATGAGATGAATCCTAGCACACACATATGAAAAGCGACATACAAAGATTAGCTTTAACAACCAAGAGTACAATTGAGAGTGAGATTATATAATATATGGAGAATAAAGAACTTTTAGTATGGGGCTTCTTTGTATAAAACAGGAAATTATAATAAATCACTTGCATGCTTTTCTCAAGGCCAACTCCAGCCAAAATGATGATTTTGCTGCCGTTAAGCCTTCTTTCACCCCTCCCACCCACAAAAACCTCATCACCCTTCCTCTCTACCAAATCAAGGTACAATCCTGCCACCCTCAAGTGAACATTTTCTGTCTTACTTTCCGTAAATCAGGCTATCACTACAGGAGGCGTTACCTACCGGGAGCAGCCGTGGCATAAGGAGTGCTTCGTTTGTACCGGATGCAAGAAGCAGCTGTCTGGACAACGCTTTACCTCCAGGGATGAGTTCGCGTATTGCCTGAGCTGCTTCTGCAACCTCTACGCCAAAAAGTGTGCTGGATGCACAAACCCCATCAGTGGTAGGTCTCTTGTGGCCAGTGCCTTTAAATTTGGGGTTTTTTTCAATGAACTGCTTCTAATATTGAAAACGGTTCAATAATTCATTCTGAATAACTTGAGAGACTCAAGACACTATGCAATTCAAGATGTGTGAAATTAAATACTTAGGATGCCTTTCAAGTGCCTCACAGAAAGAAATGGAAGAGGTCCTTAAATTGAAGTTTCCTCCTTTTCACTTGATTTTCATGGAATGTGGTAGACACGCAGTAACAGAGCTGCGCGTGTAGCGGGATATGCATGCTCTGTACGGCATTCCACTTGCGTTGATTAGAGGGATCGCTGACCTCAGCAACAACAGCCCCTCCACCAGCAGAAAGTGTCTAACTGGCTTACACCTCGTGTTGTAGCACAGCGCATTTCTTCTCTAACTTTTCAGGACAGCAACTGAGAAATCATAAGCCTTTCAGTTACTGCTTTCCGGTACAAAAGTACTAGAAGGAGCAACTGCTTAGAGATTTACTATAAAACACTTAGGATAAAAATATAACCTCTGCTATGACGTAATCAGCATTTAACAGCATGACCCATACAGTCCAAGACTGCAAATCTGGACCATTTTCTCTCTTGTTATTGCTCTGCCCTTGTGCCTGTCTGGTGCCCAGCGACAGGACAAGGGGCAATGGGCACAAACTGAAGCACAAGAGGTTTCAGTTGAACATGAGGAAGAACTTCTTTACTTTGAGGGTGACAGAGCGCTGGAACAGGCTGCCCAGGGGGGTTGTGGAGTTTCCTTCTCTGAAGGTATTCAAAGCCCACCTGGACGATGTCCTGTGCAACCTGCTCTAGGTGAGCCTGCTTTAGCAGGGGGGTTGGACCAGATGATCTCCTGAGGTCCCTTCCAGCCCCTGCTACTCTGTGATTCTGCCCCTCACTTCATTGCATAGCTCCTAGAAAAGTGAGTGCTTAACACCACTGCTACTGTTTTCTGTTCATGTGAAAGAGGCATTTCTTTTTAGACTATTGCAGTCCTTCCTATCATATGCTGTTTCTTTCAAAATGTTGCTACTAAAGGCAAAGCAAAACCCCCTCTCATCAGGTAAGAGAGGTGCCAAATTAAATCTTTTCACTGACTTCTAGCTTGTCATTCCAATGCATCATACTCAAATTGCTTGCCATTTCTGAGGTTAAGCAAGAGGGAATTAGTACTAAAGGACATTTGCCCCTTTTCTCTTTTTTTCCTGTACAACTTCAATACTCCTTCCGATAACCTCCATAGCCTGAAACTCGTGAATGCTTTTTGCCGTTTGCTAGCCTGCTTCTTAAGGCACCTCACTTTCAAAGCTATGAATCAAGTCATGACACAACCTGCCAGACTTCTTTTTTAACGCTCTAAATGCATTTTTACAAAACAAAATTAACTTACTCAAATGCCATAAAACATTCTGTAAAAAACTATCAGCCCTCTGTTCAGGGTCAGTTGCTTTCCTTTCCTTCTGCTGTATATCGCATTGCCATCCCTTGACAGCTCATTTCTGCCACCATCTTATCACCAGGGATAACAGCAAAGTTCACTAACTTAGCTGAAAGCAGCAGAACTAGTTGAGGATGAAGATATTACTTACTACAAAATAAGGGTGGCAAAATTAGCACAGCAACAAACAGATTTGCCCCAATGGCATTTTTTCACTAGTGTATGTCAGATCCCCACAGCCCTCCACGAGGGGAGGCTGACATAGCATCACTTGATGGCTGATGTGCTGTTCTTTTCTGGTAACAGAATGCTTTTGGTTTTCAAACAGGACTCGGAGGAACCAAGTACATCTCCTTTGAAGAACGGCAGTGGCATAATGATTGCTTTAACTGTAAGAAGTGCTCTCTCTCATTAGTGGGTCGCGGCTTCCTCACAGAAAGGGATGACATCCTTTGCCCTGAATGTGGGAAGGATATTTAAAGCTCAAAATAAGAGGCGGGGAGAGGGAGGAGGAAAGCCGTGCTTGCAATATATCATCTGAAATACAAGGATGTTTGGAACTAGCTTTGCCACTCTGTGTTTCACTGTACTATTAACATTACTTAACCTTTTTAATCAAACTCTCCAAACCTGGAGGGGAAACAACTTCAAAATCTCTAGTAGCAGTGTTGTTGTTTTAACATTTCTACAGCTAACCAGAACTAATGCAAAACCCGAGATGTAAAACCATTTGGGTGTTATTGACATAGCATACACTTTTGGTTTTGGGTTTTTTTTTTTTTCCTTCCACTAAATATTCCAGTTACAAGCAAGTGATATAATTCAAGGATTGCAACGGCCACGCACAATACATTCATAGATGGATATTCAGGGTGAAACCCTCAGCCCACAGAAATCAATGGCAAACGCCACTCAATTTCAGTAAGGCTGTGGTCTCGCCTCAGTATTCTTGAGCTATGTGACTAGTGTGTGCTGTCAAGTGTGTGGAAAGACTGCGAATGTGGAGGGTGTGTCAATGTGCAAGGATTTGTGCCATGCCATAAAGAGAGAACGATAAAACAGTTGAAGTGGGAGTGCTTCATTACAGGTACATATTTTATTGCATGACTAGCTGATCGTTGTGTGAAGTACAAGTTCTGATTGATAGTGTCAGTATTACAGTTAGTCAACATTACACTGCACATTGTATTTTTCAAAATAAAATCATTTAGAACAAAATTGTGATTGTGCTTTAATTGTATTTATATGTTAGATATTTACAAATAAAACACCTTCACAGTCTGGAAAAACACAACGTAAGAGCCATACAACACAACCCTTTTTGTACCCAGCCATGAAACTGTGGAGTTTACGGACAATGCTCATATAGGCCCTGCTGATACAGCATAGTCTTCTATTAACAGAAATCAGTGGGAAAATTATCAGCAAAACTGAACAACTGTAAGAAAATACTGAATTGACTGCAGCTGATAAAAATGTGTTCATAGGCTCTAAACTCAAAACCAAAATATTATTGTTCTCAGCAAGCAAGGAAGTCAATACAACTCAAAAGAGATTTAATACTTGTGAAAGTCAGAAGTTTGACTTCTCTATGAGGGCATGCTTTAATTTTGTTCTGTATTGCAACACATAATACCCTTTGCTCTAGCACCATTTCTGCTACATGTTTGCTGCAAAGGCAACTGTTAGCAACAGCATGCTGGCAGGACAATAAAAGCAAGACGAAACAATCCAAAGAAAGATAACTCTCTTCCCAAAGCAAACTTCAAGAAATACGGCCATGTTATGCAATGTGTGATCCTGGTACACCTTCCAGATGGAATTCATTTGTATCCAGCAAAAGGAGGAAAGTAGTATGTCGCGCTTCCAACAGCAATCTTCAGATGTGGAAAGAATTAGGAATATACTTACGCGGTGTGTAAGTGTGTAGTGCAAGTTTGCTCCTAGTTCCTGCCACCCCTCTTGAATTTGTCTCTTTTTGTACTAAGTGTAAAGTTCTCACAAGTCATTCTTCTCATTAATTCAACAAGCTAAATAGATGCATGTAGATCAGATTTAGTTTACTGCATACCATTTGAAGAACTTGGCTGGCTGACATTTTTGAAGCGGACACCACACTAACCTGATCTCACTGAATGACCAAATTCTATCCTTTGGTGACTTCACACTACAAGGAAGGCTATAGGTAAAGAATAGCCATAAAAATCCCTCTCACATCCAACACCTCCCAAAGGGGGGCGAGCACGTCACTTACCCTCTCCTCCGGGGTTTGGCAATCACCCAGCACACTGCAGCCCTGATCCAATACTTTGCTGAGAGAAGAAGGATTACTATTAGCTAAGGGGGAAGGAAGCAAGGTGCAAGCATGGCTTGCACCTTGCCCCCCCCTCCAAGCATTACAACTGGCAGCAAAATAGCCCCAACTTCAGGGAAAGGTAGGTGAAACACGACAAGGCTGGAAAGCATACCACCCCACAAACAAGGCTGTTACCATGCAATAGCATGGTATTATTCCAGTACAGTTCTGCATATCACTCCTTAACACGTACCAACAGGCACATGCTCCTAGCAACTGGAACTACAACAAAATATAGAATATAGCCTAGGCTCTAAACCACTGCCAAGAAGCCACCCACAAAACAGGACTCCTACCAGACTGTTCTACTAGTGCAAGGACCAGCACTTCACATGACACTAACTGCTGCTAGAACTCCAGAGTAGCTACTGAGCCTTTTACCCTGCAAGCTTTTCCTTAAGTTCTAGTCACTTCAAGTCCACTAAAATATAACCATATAAAATGAACAACCTTAATTACATCACAAAAACAAGCGAACACTACTTTGTTTGCTTTTAATTGAATTTATTTAAATAGGATAAGGCTACTTAAAAGACAACTTTGTACATACAAAATGTGCATTACGTTAAAGTTTGCTGTACTCAAGTACAAAAACTGCACAAGTGTTTAGTAAAAGGGAAACAGCACACAATATTTCAAAACACACACATTCTTACCATTTTACAGCATTCGAGAAGTGCCTTTTATGTCATAACAGCAAATGGAGAACTTCTGTCAGTAATGAATTAAGCTACAGTTTTTGGTTTCAATATTAACCAATGTTAAAAATGTAAACTAGCTTTCAGATCACTACTGACAGCTTCTTTCAGTGGGTTAACTAAGTGGATTCAGAAGTTGATTTTTTTTTTGTTGTTTCTGTTTTACTAAGTCTGGGAGCATTATTATTATTTATCATCCATATCTAAAAATGGATCTAAATTGGCTTCCCCCTGAGTCACTGAGATTTAATAAAAATTTCATCAACTTAACTGGATTTCTGCCTTATAAAGCACCACCAACAACCCAGAGGAAGAAACACCAAGTTTCAGAGAAAACTAACATCCATCTGAAATTATCAAAGGAAGGGAAAACAGCTTGTTTGTTTGTTTGAAAGAGTGCAACTACATACGCTAATGCTCTCAAGGTACTTCTCTGTCTTCCTATCCCTGTCCCTCTCCAACTGTTAGTAAGTTGAGAAAGCACTGACCTGCATTCTACAGGTTTTCCCTGTATTTTATAAGCATGATTGTAACCAGGAAAACAAGTAAATTTGCTACATCAGCACATTTTTACACTTAAGCATGTATAAAATATGCCTGTGTATTTAAGAGAACATGGCACTAATCCATTCACTACTTCCTCTCAAAGATTCGTATCAAACAGTCTAATTAAGCATACTTCTAGCTGTGCATTTCTTATTTCATATGTCAATAAGAGAAACTTCAATTTGAAGTAAAGCTGTTAAATAGTTCATCTCTTATTACCAACCTAACTTGCACTGTAAATTCTACACTCCTGTTCTGTGCAACAAAAATGAAAAAAAAAATTGTTTCAGACTATCTTATCAGCAGAATGGTCAGTTTTCTCATCTAAATGAATTATCTTTTTGAAGCCAAGAAGGCTCTTGGGATCACTCTGAATCTCAATAGCTATTTTAACTATTTAACCAGAAGTGGAACAAATCTGAATCTGACTGAAACAAAAAAAATATTTATTTATATGTGTGAATCGTAGTGACATGCAGGAGATGAACTATAATAATCTTGAAAACTAAAAGTGGGGGGTTTAGTATATTATAATATTACCACCTTTTAAAGAACTAATGAACTACTTGGTGTACAAGAGTAGACACTCTTAAGGTGACTGGTGATAATGACTCCAGCTTTACAACAGGGAACTATTAAATTTGTTAAAACTTCACAGCAATCTGAATCCCTGTAAGGTTTAAAAAGAATTGTACTTAAACTGTTTAAATATGACTTATCTGTTTGAAAATATGGAAGTAACATTTATGTTTCAAGCACCGTTAGCTACTTCATGGCCATGTAACATGCTGGATTTTCTTCTTTGCTTCCGTAGGCTTTAGGTCATTCTGGAATACAAGAAAATATATGAGCATTCTCAGATATACTGCACAAGCAGAAGTGAGTAATTAACCTGCCATATTAAAATCTAGTACTTAATACTGCTGCACTTAGCTATGTGCTACTACAATAGCTTTCTATTGCCATCTTGTGGAGAAAGTTAAATATCACAGAACTTCTCTAGAGAAGATAAAAATAAAGCCAATGAATTTAACTACCTGACAATCATCTATGTCTTTTGGTTTTTCCTAATCCTACAATTAGTTATGCAAAAATCTTTCAATTATACAGCTTATAAACAGGTACATATTGAAGTTACTAGTTATACTTCTAAAGTTATTTCAGATTGCCTTCTTAATACTTGTTGAAATGGGACTGTATAAGAAAAAAACTAACATCCAACGAGGAAACCAATTTACTTTTTTCAAATAGTAAAAACATTAGCAAAAGAGAAGGAAGAGTTGATCTTCCTTTGTAACGACCTGTATAAAAAAGAGAAGTAATCGCCAAAGCCTCCAATGAATGAGCTCATCTTTCAAGCCCTGCCCCAAGAAACCCCCCAAAAAATCAAGTAAGCCCAAAGTAAAACAATGGGAGACTGAAGAGGTGAAATAATTACCATTCACCACCTAAAATAAGAAAAAAAACCTGATAAATTAGAGCTTTAATAGTTCACACAAGCAGAGTATATGAGTTTTCAAGAACATTCTGCAACACACTGGTTTGTGGAAAACAATCTGGAGATCTCCCTTCTCATTAAGAGTTTCAGTGTTAGTTTATTTACAGCAATCCTATGGACTGCAACCACTGAAAGGTTTAAGGGAATTAGACCCAAAGATCAGAAGGATAGTTCTGTGCTATTCAGTACAAGAACTTCAGTTTTTCTTGAAAGTCAAAGAACAGTCACTTGCTTGAAAAGGCAATTGTCATTACTGTATCCTAAAAATGTATCAGGCTTTACACTCTACAGCCATCTGCCAAGTACACTGATTCTTCCTGGCTGCACCACTTACTATTCAATATCACATTCTTTAACCTCAGACAGTAAAGTAACACCCATACAACACACTCACCTAACTTCAAATGTGTCTGACTGACATTAACCAAGGCATGACTGAACTTACCCGTATTAACTTGGAACAACATGAACTGTGGCTAAGACAGAAAGTCAAGCATCAGAGGTCATAGCTTCTGAGTGTCATTATACAGTGTCATTTACAAGTGTTCAGCACTGTGTCTACAAAACATTTAAAACAAATATAAAGAAGCTGTGAGGTGTATACTAAGCAAGCTTCAAAAGCTCCATAGGTTCAGATCTGACCAGTGCTTAGAAGAGTTCTAAATGCTAAAATAAGTTAGTGATACTGGTAGTAGGAAACACACCTCTCCAGCATAAATTTGATTCAGGGCCTCAGCCATGATTATTGTAAAAGTTGCTAAAGCTGGCTTTCAGAACAGCCCCGTGTTTAGGTGCTCATGTTTAACAAAAGTCTGATGGAACCTACCAATCCATGCAGCAAGGATACCACCTGCATTCTTTCATGATGAGATTTTTTAAAAGATTAACAGAAAGCATTTCATGAGGCAATATTGAGAAAACAGAAGTTAGGTCTGGTGTCCTGGGAAAATGTTAATCAATGTAATTGCACACTGCATATCTAAAGCTCCCCCTGCAGTTCAGCTGAGAACAGGTATTTCTACTTCTTCCTTTGAAGCCCAGACTTATTCCACATATTCCCATATTCCAGTGGAAATGTGAAAACTCCTTCATTTGTATTATGAAGCAATACAACACAAATATAAGACTTACCCCTACCTCACGGCATGTTTTAAAGAGGAGATGACCCATAGCTCCTTGCTCACTGACAAGCCCTTAAAGACTACTCACACCTTTGTCAAAAATAACCACTGTTCTATTCGTCTCCCCAGCAGCCAGCTACATTCAGCATCATTACCTGCCCTTTCAAAGATACGCCCTCCTGAATTCACATGTCCTACCTTAGCTCTTCTCTCATCACTTCACCTCATCAGCCTCATTCTGCCCCCATCTGCAGTGCAGTTCTCTACGGAAAATTTGTTTGCAGCTGAATCTAACTTGCAGAAATAACAATTATTTACCTCTTTGGTTAACAGCTCAGTCATCAGTCTTCTATCTGAGAACAGCACCCTTCCGTTCAAGATCTCAGCATGTCTTTCTCATCGTCTTATAGATGCCCAGATACCTGATTAAGATCACCACAGCTCAAAATGAGCACTTAACCTTTGGCCTCTCACTTCAACTAGCGTGGTTTGTTGTTATGGCTTCTCGTTCAGACCCAAAATCTAGGCAGCTCTCCAGATTTTCACATCCAGTTCCTTCCTCTAGCTTGCTAATTCCTATGTGAGATTTAAAACAGATGGCTTTCTTCCTCCAAGGATATATTCCACAGCTCTCAGCATCTCACTTCAGTTCCCGTAATATCTCTTCCCTCACTTTGACAAATGAAAGCTTGTCCTACTCAACCATTCAAGTGTGATTGTTACAAATGTTATCGTTCCATTTTTTTCTTCCCTGCTGCAGAAAGCAGACCACTTGTCCTCCCTTTAAGGCTCAATATGTACAACAACATGCTGTTCTATAATACCTATTCTCTCTCTCAGACCTATGAGTAGGATTATTTTGTTTGTGTTTTATTTGACTGCTACCAGCAGCACCTTAAGTATTACCTACTTACTCGTTTTAAAATTACATGTGTGTTTTCTACAGAGCTACCTCTCTCACACAGAAGTTTCCTATGGACAAGTACAAAGTACTTCATTTCTTTCCTTCTAATCTTTCCCAAACAAGGTACTGTTTTGTCTGTTTCTAAATAAAGACTCTACTATTACTCCAAAACAAAATAATCCTGAAAACTCTTACAAGGGTCTACCTTTGGATCCTGCAAGTTTCAATTCGAAAAAAAGCTGCAAAACAAGATACTGAACGTACATACCGGCAAATCAGAGTCTTCTTTTGGAACAGCTCTCTTTAACTTCACAACAGTAGTTCCTGCTACTGGAGACAAAGGGTACACCTTCAGACTAGCCAACACACTGCTGTTAGTCTTTGAAATATTGTTCTGCTTAGCCTCATTATTCCTCATTCCCGGCTTAGCGTCCTCTGATAAACTGGAGGCTGAAATGTATGTTGAGGCATTTGAAGGAACTGATAATCTTCTAACAGTGTTGGTGGTGCTTCCAGCTGGAGGAGGTTTTAGGCGATCAGCAGTTCCGTTCTCTGTCTTCTTCACCTTTATGCTTGTACTTGTTGAATTGCCATCAAATACAATTAATGGCCGTTTCCTTAAACCTTCCACCGTTGTAACACTGAAAATGCAAATTGTAAAATTCTCAGAAACACAAGCTACATGGTCCAAAAATAGCATATCCAAGACGTGGGTAGTGAAAATTATTTAATCTTGCCTCAAGTAAAAATATATATACCAAAATGCTAACCTTAAGCTCTTAGCTGCTCCAGACTTAGACAATAGAAATTACTTCCAAAACAAAAGGGAGGAGGGGGACACGGGGTTGTGTAAGGAACAGTGTTCCTCAAAGAGGGTTGGGTGAGGAACTCTCTAGGCAGACAATTACAATTGTCCAATCAAAAACTGTAGTCTTATACCACTGTAGCTATTCCAGAGTAACTAAAGAGATAATAGCTATTACATATTTCTCAAATATTCACCTTTTGAAAATGTGTGCCACCTTATCTACAAGAACAGCATCTAATATTCTGATACTTCTAAATCTCCCTGTTTCCACTCTTACACAAAATCCTAATGTTAAGATAGTCTAAAAAATTGTTAGAAAAAGAATGAAAACATTAAGAAAAAAAAAAGCATACCTGTTTTTGAAATAAACTGTCCTTGAACAGGAACCCTAAGCTGATTTAATGACTTTTTTTTTTTTAATAGTTTGTGCCTTTAAGCCTATGTGTAGTTAGAGCTAGCCAATTTAGTAGCAACTGATTTATGAAAAAGGAATACTACCAAGCTAATATCAAAACAGTAATATCAGAAAACATCCTGACTGCCAAAAATTAAAGCACAAAGTTATCATAGCTCACTCTACGTTTAGAGTTTTAGAAAAAGCATTGTTCAAGAATGACAAAGACAAGGTGTTTGGAAAGCGCAGATTTAACAAATAAAAAAACCAAACCACCATTAAGTTATACAATATTCTGTTCAGAAACTTTGGTTTCAAGTACACACTGTTTAATCATCTCGTATTAAACAGAGGAATAAAGTTGAACTATAGCGTTTTCAACAATGAAATATATTCATTGATTTGTACTTAATGAATTTGACAATACTGATGTTAGGTATCTCAACAGGCTTTAAATAAGGTGCAAGCAGAGACTCCATTAGTTTGTCTTGGAACAACATTAGATTAGTAGCTGCTGCTAAGCCTCACATATTAAGAAATTACACATCACTTGCACAATTTCTGTCCAGACAAGGGTGTTCTTTAAAAAAAATGAAAGGAGTCACAATGTAAGAGCTCACAGAGCAAGAGAAAGTTGAGCTTCTATTCAGATTTGCTCTTACATTACTATCTGTTCACAACAACTATGTCACATAATCCTCCTCTTTTTCTATTCATCAGGATCCCAGAACTGGTAACAGACAAAAGAGAGAACTTCATAGAATTGTTTAGGTTGGAAAAGACCTTTAAGATCATCAAGCCCAACCATTAACCTAACCCTGCCATCCCACCACTGAACCATGTCCCTAAGTACTTCATCTACCCGTCTTTCAAATACCCCCACGGATGGCGACTCGACCACTTCCCTGGGCAGCCCACTCCAGTGCCTGACAATCCTTTTCGTGAATAAATTTTTCCTAATGTCCAACCTAAACCTGCCCCAGCGCAACTTCAGACCATTTCCCCTCGTCCTATCACCAGGGAGAAGAGACCAACCCCCACCTCGCTACAGCCTCCTGTCAGGCAGTTGTAGTCTTTAATTCATTTGGGACTTGTTTGTCAAGAGATCAGACAGAACACTTTGGCTTGTATCTACAGTAGATGCCGTTTCCAAAAGAGCTTCTACAAAACAAGATTAGCTTCCAAGACCAGGAGTGTTCAGCCAGGCATGTTGTTTCAGTTAAATACTACTGAAACAACAGTAATATCCAACACACCCATTAAATTAAGGAGTATAATTTCACTTGAAAAGTCTAAAAAGCTGACACATACTTCAAAAACAAAACCTGATACTTTTTGATCATTTTGGTTTTGTCCAAGAATTTATTCAACACTCCTGACAAGGAACACATTCCCCAGAAGCCTTTTTGGAAAACTAGTTTACAAACTATGTGAAACAAAAAAATTTATACCTTCCTTAATATAAAGAGTCTGCTTTTCCTAGGGAGATTTTTTTTTTTTTTTTAATTCAGCTTGGTGAGGACTGGTAAATCAGGAAATAACTGCAATTCTAGGAGGACTGTTATCTATTCTAAATCAAATTTTAGAACTGCAGCACTTGTACAAATGACCACATGCTATAATACAGATAATGTTCCCAGAGAAACACTTTGGGAAAGTTCCAAAACAAATTTGGATGCTGTACCATCAAGAACTGTCACACCTAATTTTTAGGCACATGGCTCACAGAAGAACACAAAGCCTTGGGTGTGACATTCACTTTCTTTATATAAAGTACAGGCAGCTTAAAAGCTTCAGAGCAGGACTCATGTTAGCCAGCAATCTTCTGAGGGAGGACACTGACGCTAGCCACAGCTGAAAAGAACCATTTTGGTATTGTGTCTCCTCCTGCAGGACAATCTCTGTGAAACCTAGATTTCAGTGCGCACCTCCTACATCCTACAGAAATGTTCTAGCCACACTTTGGGTGGGGCTGGATGGAGGGCAAGCTCTAATTCTGCTGTTTACTTTGTAGCACATGGTAAAGAATACAAGATTTACTAGCCCAAGCAAAAGCTTCTCTAAGGTGAGCAATCTGGGTTTCCACTGTTCCACATGATTACTCATGTAGTCAGAGTGGCCCCTGAGCAACTCCTGAGTAAGAGGACAATTTAATGAAAAATGCTTCTATTCTTGTCTAGTTTGGCCTGGTACTTAAGGTAGCACCCTGACACCAGAGAGAAGTATAGGCTTTAGCTCCCACCCCGATTTTCCCAAGTATTCACCCGTTACCAAAACAGGCAGGTGATCACCTCTTCTGTGAATGTCTGAAACTGGTCCCAACTACCATGTTTTACACTGAACTGATTATCGGCATGTGAGCAGTTCTCAGAGAATGCCGAAGCGGCCTCTCGGGTGACTAAGGAGAAATGATGAGCTCCACCAAGGCCACAGCTCTGAGCATGCATAGCCACAGCGCTCCTGGAGACTGAGCATTTGCAGAGGAGAGCCTTGAGACTCAATGGCACTCCAGAAACTAGATATATATTTTGAGATTCATACCACCCTCTTTCTTCCAGCAGGCAAGATGATCTTACATATCTACAAAATTAACTGTCCCTGAACACAAATACTTTCTGAAATTTTTGAAATTGGAGAGACTGGATTTGGTTTTATTTGGTATGACTATCTGCAAGTTCAAATACTCAGTAATAAGATGTATAAACCATCTTCTATCTGTGACCTCAGATATTTGATGGTGTTATTGAGGTATACGCGTTACCGCAGCTCAGTTGATGCACAGCAAGTCTTTTAGGACATGCCATCAATCACCAGCAGTAAAACTAAACATGATATTCAACCCTGACTTTTAAATTTCAGTGTGTTTTTACCTCCTATCTGTAACTACTAGAGGCACACAAACACACACTGAGCTGTGCTGATCAAATCTCCAAGCCTCACATAAATTCCAGCGCATGTTGTAAAGCTCTGCTTTCCACAGAGAGACTGATCAGAAAGCTCCTGTTGTTCGTACAATCAATTGCTTTATCTGACTTCTAAACCAAACTAACAGCACGCTTAGCTCCCATCTCTGGCTTCCACATAACTTACAGCCTCACAATACCTAGGAATTTTGTTTTGGTTTTAAAAACAAGAATGTCAGGTTCCACTTCCTCCTCTGCACAATGGCATCATGCACACAACAAAGTGGTGCACACAAGTATGAGGAAAAGTGTAATATTTTAATATCCAAAAAGATGATTGAATTTCCCTGATTCTTTCCATGAATATACTAAAACTGAAGTCTTCTCTTTGCAGCTTTTACTTACTGAAAGTGCTGAACGTCTATTTCTCCCATTTCTCTGGCATTAGCAATACTAGCAGTAAAAGATCAACTTTTCTAGACAGTACTTTACCAGTATATTTCTTAAGTGTGAAAGATGTAATACAAACAAAAACAGTAACTGCTGGAAAATCTTAAAACTGTCTAACAACAGAGCAAAAGACTAAGCCTAGCATGCTAGATGTTAAGTGCCAAGAGCAACTGGTAAAGGAAAACAGACTGGTAGATTAAACATATCTCCTTTTACTTGCTATTTTCCCAGCAAGTACTACACAAGTTTAACCATTACTGAATTTTACTGTACCACAATAACAGCGCCTAAACTTATTCTACATATCAACTCTTGATGAAGCCTTTCTCCCATCTAAAAAATAACATTGCCTCCTTCTCTCAAAAACATCCAGTCCACTATCTGTATTTCTTTGATAAAAAATTATTTTGGACTTACTTCAGCACACAAACAGTTTCCTACCAGTCGAACGCTAACCTCATGCTTTCATCCTGAGCTTGCAAGTGGTACACAAACCAAGGTACTATAACCTTTTATGCAGGTGGAAAAAAACCTGCCATAACAAGATAACTCAGCACCCTAACCACTAAAAATGTTTTAAAAATTCAAAAAAACCCAAATCACTTGACAGAAACTTTTAAGGAAGATTTTGCTTTCCGATGAAATACAGAGAGGTTTTAAAAACAAGGCAGAATGTTTCTTTCAGAAAGTAGATGTTAGTCTTGAATTGGACACACAAAACTACTGCAGCATACACCCCTGACCCTAGTGAAGTAGAGTCATTTGATTCTGCCCCTCTGCTCCACCCCACCTGGAGCTCTGCGTCCAGCTCTGGAGCCCTCAGCACAAGAAGGGCATGGACCTGTTGGAGCAGGTCCAGAGAAGGCCACAGAAACAATCAGGTGGCTGGAGCACCTCTCCTATGAGGACAGGCTGAGGGAGCTGGGGTTGTTCAGCCTGGAGAAGAGAAGGCTGCGGGGAGACCTGATTGCGGCCTTTCAGTACTTAGAGGGGGCCTGTAGGAAAGATGGGGACAATCTTTTTAGTAGGGCCTGTAGCAACGGGACAAGGGATAATGGTTTTAAACTAAACCAGGGTAGGTTTAGACTAGATATAAGGAAGAAACTCTTTACAATGAGGGTAGTGAAACACTGGAAGGGGTTGCCCAGGGAAGTGGTGGAGGCCCCATCCCTGGCAACATTCAAGGCCAGGCTGGACGGGGCTCTGAGCAACCTGATCCAGTTAGCGGTGTCCCTGCTCACTGCAGGGGGGTTGGACTAGATGGCCTCTAGGGGTCCCTTCCAAGCCAAAGCATTCTGTGATTCTGTGAAAAGAAGCACTATAACCTAGATACCATTAATAACATCTGGATAACAACAAATTATCTCCCCCTTTTTCCTATTATTGCAGTAGCAGAATGTAACACTTCCAACACAGAAGACCTGACACAGCTGTAAACCATAACAACATCCAAAAACTGCACAAGTTTCATTAACCAGGCAAACAAAGCTTAAACTAAATGCGTTGTCCTAAATTCTCCAAGTCTAACCCAATAAAAGCTGAATTACCTTTTATTCTCACTTTTCGACTCATTTTGCTGTCTTTTCTTTTCCATCATTTTCCCCCATCGACTTTTTGGTAAGTCACGCTGAGGCAGGGGAATGGCATGTTGAATATAGAGATCAGTGAGACCATCTTTGTCCATCTTTACATCATTTTCGACTAGAATATTCTTCTGTGGGGAACAGAAAAAAGTTGTTATTATTACGACGAATTCAAAGCATAAGCATCTTAGTGGCATCATTTCTTTTTTCACATGCCACTTGAAGGTATCGGATTGGGCATAAATGCCAGGGTTTCAGAAGTGAGGGGGCTGCAGGGGTGACAGACATGTCAAGGCCCCGTGCCAACGACAGCCTGGTCTCCTGCCTTCCTACTGCCAGCTTCTCTTGTTTTCCACGTGGATTACACTCAGTCCCTCCCTTCAGTGAGGCAATGGGAAATACAGGATGTTTGGGCCAGTGCATAGTGGTTTCTTTTTCTTCTACCTGCATCTCTTCACATATCTCCTCCTCATGTGCCTCTTCCTGTTCATCTTTTTGTGTCTCCTGCCCCTGGGGGCTGCTGCTCTCTGTTAATTGCCTTTGAGCACAGGTGCCATGAGCGCCTCTGCTTGAAATTTTGGTGTGCGATGGGCTGTTTTCATCAGTGTCAGAGACAGCTGGATCCAGCTGCAACCAGTACTGGGCAGTTCATTACCTTTGCCCATGCAGGTCACCTCTGCAGCCCCTACCTATCCAAACCCCTGCATTTTTTCCCAATAAAATAGTAACCAAAAAAAAAAAAAAAAAGATAGAAAAAGTTATGATAGACATACTGTTGATGACCAATGTTTTCATGCACTCCTAAACACACTTCCCTGAATCCAACTACAGTACCAGAGCTCTTCCTCACATTTTTCTAAAAAAGAGGCAACTAGAACACAACGCAGTTCAAACTCACAGCTGTGGAGCCACGCTTCCTTCCCCAGTTCCCAAAGAGTAAGCTGCGAAGGGAGATTTCTAGTAACTGTCAGTCATCACAGAACATCAGTTTTCTTTCTAATCACATATAGGGTTGTGAAAATGAAATGTCTTGTTACCTGCTATCAAATATATTAAAAGAGAAAAACCCCACTAACTTCCTACAAACTAGAGGTCACTGAAAGCGGGTTAAGTCTCTGCTAGCACTGGTTTGGGCAACACCTCATGACCTCTGAGGCAGGCCTAAAACCGGTACGTTCTTTGTCCACGTAAACCACATGGACAAGAGCATATGAAAATTCAGCGAGCTCATACAAAAACCTAAAACTTTTGATTGTTATTGTTTCACGCCCCTAAAATTTTCAGGCAGGGCAGTACCAAGTATTCCAAATCACACCAACTGAAGCTTCATAGGGTCCAAAACTGTTTATAACTCATTTTCAAACTCAATCTTTTTTTTCTGTGATGCGTACTTAAGCATTAGCTTGAGCGATTACCTGGGATGCATTTCTTTAATTCACCAGGCATGAACGCGGCAACTTTAACAGAGCAAAGCTCACCTTCCCGCAGACAGTTTTACTGTACGGCAAGCACGGTCTCACAGACGTGCCGACCTGGGTAAAGTACTCTTTAGCAGCGGCAGCGTTCAAACACAGCCCCTGCGCCAACACGGAGGCACCTCGCACGCCACTACAGGCTTCCCCTAAGCAAGCACCCAGCCTACAGAGGATCGACTTGGGTTTTCTCCGTTGGTTTGGGGGTCTCTTTTCTCCTGAACGCTCCTTGTGCACCCACTAAGGGCGGTGCAAAGCCTGGAAGCCGCGGGAGGGCTGGGAGAAAACCTCCCGTGTGGGTGATGGGATGGGAAATTGGGGGGCAGGACTTTCCCTGCAGAGTAAAGCCGAGAACAAACAGGGCGGGCCTAACGCGGCGGTAG